GGATGCTTCCAGGCTTGGCAGCGGCGCGGGGGTCGTTGTGTTCACTCCCAGGGGAACTACTTCGAGGGTGATGGATGAATTTAATACCTGAGATAAGTGTACGGGTTTTTATAGGCGCAGTCTTGAAACTTTCCGATCGCACCTCGTATGTCCCAATATGCAGCTTTTAGGGAACTATAATCTTATGTAATAAAATTATCAAAATTGTTCAATGTAGGAAAAACAATTTTGGCCTGGTAAAAGGTTACAGTAATGGACAAAGCTATTTCCCCCAGAAACGCATGTTATATCGATGTTACACTGTATCTTCAAAGATTCAGAGCAAATGATGTTCCAACATCACTAGGATCAACTCTTAATTCAGAACATCTAGTTTTTATATTCAGTAGTGACCTAGGGGACTTTTCTTATAGATGGCTGTGTCAATATATTTTAAACACGTGAACATAATTCCCATACCGAAAATAACCATCGCATGAAGCTACGAGAACGTTACTTTGGCTGTTTAAAAACAAAGAATAAACCAACAGCGTAACAGAAATATGATATTAATCAGGTACATACATAGCACTTCACAATTTTTTCCATCTCTTGTAGCAAATCCTTCTTTTAAATCATTCGCAGTTTTTGGTAGTGAACTAATCATCACAGATCATTTTTCCAAACAGACTGACACATTAATCTTGATTATTATTATTATTCAGTGTTCTGTCTTACGACAGGTCCATTGCTCTGCCCAAAAAGAGCTCTCCAGTTGTCCCTATTCTCGGCTTCTCGTTTTAACTCCTGAAACTTCATCTTCTTTCCTTGTTTCAGATCGTTGGTTAGCTGTATCAATCTTCTTCCCAGTCCTCTCTTTCCTTCAACCTGGCCTTCGATGATATCACTCAGTAACCCATTCCTTCTCATAATATGTCCCAGCCAGTTAGCTTTCCTTCGTGTAATCGCCTGCAGAATGTTTCTTTGCTCGTTGACTCTCCTCAATACTTCTTCGTTGGTCACTCGATCCGTCCACCTGATCTTCTCTATTCTTCTCCAACACCACATTTCAAAACTCTCCAGGTATTTCTGTTCCTTCTTCCTGAGTGTCCAAGTCTCTGCTCCATATAGCGCGACACTCCATACGTAACACTTCACTAGTTTCTTCTTCATCTTGATACCACACATAAATCAATTTGTGAAAACTTAAAATCACCCTGGTATTGATTACATGCACTTCCAAGTTTAAAATCAATTGCTCTGTGTGTCACTTAAACATGATTGTTTTTTAGAGCAAATTCTGCAATGTCACCCATAGCGTAGCCATCATATCACATACATATACGCTGACATCTATAAATTTATTTCCAACATGATCTAAATAATGTGAATCATTCAGTGTAATCATAAATATCCAGAATGATTTTTAATAATTCTCTAAACCTTAAAATACACAACAGAAAATAATTTTTGTTCAAGTAACATACATAGTTTTCAGCCAGTTTCTGGAATGTTGACAACTAAAACTTGCTAAGATACACTTATTAACTTCCAAGTCAGTCTCTCTGTCTGTATGCAACACCTTGAGAACCAGTGAGTCATTACAAGTGATATCGGTGAGTTTCAATAAAATTTGTTAACACATTCAAAATTTTGTTGAAATCAAACAGGCACTTTACGTTACGTCCTACAAGCATTTCTGTTCAAGGAAGTGATTTGGCAAGAGATCCCTGCACGAAGAATACCAAGTTAGACATGCAACCATGTGGGGCAATCCTCCATGATGAATCACCACCCAGCCCACGCACACATCAGAAATCTCTAACATCACACTGGTTAAATTCTGGCAAATGCTCCGAACTGTTATGCTACACGTACATTTTATCTCAAAGTTGTAAACAAGCATCTTTTCACTTTGCCACGCTCGTCTACTTGTCCACATGCAACAATCCAAGAATTTCAGAATTCATTAAGACACTGGGTAGTTTTACTAAGATCGATGAACAAATTCCATTCCTAGTTCAGATAAAACAGTAAAAGTGAACACTTTACATAAAGACCTACATTTCTTTCTGCATGTACCTCAAGCATAACTTGCTAAAGGTTAACTAAAGTGAAAAATGTTTATAACAAAACCCCTAGAAAAAAATTAAACTTATTTTATGCTCAATATACTTCTGCCGTAAGTCTTACAGTTTTACAAATATTTAAACATAACCCAAGAACAAATGGACTGACTTTGATTGCATTTACATTGGATGTCCTTGCTCACCAATTTTACACTATTTACAAAACAGAAACAAAGCCAGTATTTACAAGCTGAAAAATCTGAAAATCTAGAAGCAATAACAGAGCAAATGCACCAAAATTATTACGACGTCTTCATTTCCAAGTTTTTCTTCCTACTGCAAAATATAAAACATACGGATGATGCTATTCAGTGTAAGACAGAGATCTAAAAATCATGATTTATCGTAACTCCACGAGCATGAAAAATTCATTTATTATTACCTTCACAAAGCTAACTTACCTGTTTCTGTTTCAAGACATCTGGATCGAACTTGTAATACAGATGTTCGATTTTCCGCAAATAGATACGACACAGATCCGCTGACAAGCTCTGGCGTTCCAGATATGCCTGCACTTTGTCAATAATTGCTGCCACCATTTTCTCATCTTTCAACCTGAAACCAAAATTTAGATATGGCACATCTGAGCAAGCCGCAGTCTCTACAAAGACCATTAACAATATCATTGCGTTCCATATTGTTATATTAAATAAGCATAAAATTATAAAATTACATAGAAAAAATAATTAACTATGTGGTACAGTATCTTCCTTGAAAAGTTAATAGTTTATGAGCTGAACTATAAATTCACTGCTTTATGAAATGTGAGCGTTCATCACTGCGTACCACTGGACCTACTCTCGAGCCAGCAGAATAAAGTCCACATCTTCAAATCCTACTTCTTGCTCCTAATGTAATTTATATATTATTCTATTACTTCGTCTTTCTGAGGTACAAAATCTCTCTCAGCATTTTGGTTTCCAAGACACCTCAACCTATTACCTCTATTCACAGTGAAAGACCTAACAGTTAACATTATTCTGAACACAATTTACAATTTTATGATTTTTTCAACTTTCAGGCCCTTGTCCACCTACCAGTCCTTGTGACTACCTGAGTTATTCTTAATCCACCATATACATTGAAATGGATCATGGCCTGAAACGTCTTAACATTCTAAACTGTATTTCTTCTCAAATCTAAAACTTCTTGACGATGGTGAAGAGTCAATTGAATAAAAATTTTCTTGGATATTATCCATCGTCTAGTAAATATAAAATGTAAAACGACGTTTCGGAGATGGGATTAGCTCTATCTAGTGGGCCCAACTGTGTAGGAACCTGAAGACGGAGATAGAGTCCCATCTCCGAAACGTCGTTTTACGTTTTATATTTACTAGACGATGGATAATATCCAAGAAAATTTTATTCAATTGTATTTCTTCTTCTGGAAATTTTACAATCATGAAGAGACAACGTTAACATGACAGCCCCACGCAAGCGCACACACACAAAAGATGACCCTGGATACAAGACAACCCCCTTTCAAAGTAGATGTCAACACAAATTATTTTATTACTTGTCCACATAAAATTCAAACATGTAATTCTCTGGCGCACGTGTAGCTCAATAATTACCAATTTTACGTCCACAAAAATATTACCAATTCTCATACTCCCAGCTTTTCAATAACCACTGTTATTAATATTTACTTTCAAACATTCTAACTTCAAAATGTTTACCCCATACTGAATTCAAACCAGTTAACAACCACAACAAAGAACTGTCACACATCCACACTCTAAGTGATATCTCGTAACAGCAGCATACCAAACATACTGATGTACTCGTAGAATTACTTCCAAGAAATCCGTTTTAAATATGATTCTTTATGGTTCTGCAGTAGCAAATTAATTGGATTGGATAACATAAATATTGTATAGCAATATATTTTCCAGAAAACACCTCAAAAGAGCAATGACTCCGAAATTGATAAATTGTGTGCAAATCTAAAAGTATTTTTATTTATTTGTGGTTTACTTAATTATGTAGTCAGTATAATAGGCCATATAGCAACAATTAGTTATAAATATTACTTTTAAAACATTTTCATATCAACACAACACGGATACACAAGTTTCAGAGATGTGCCACAATTAGTGGACCTACTCAGGAAATGTTGAAATACACTCCCTTTTACACATCTTCATTTGTAAATATAATAAGATGACCTCCGACCAATTTTCAATGATGTAAAAGCATAAAAAACCTTGTCTCATATTCAAGTAAATACAGTAAATTTAACATCTGACTGGGAGTGAATGCATATTCTGTTAGGAAGTTCATCAAGTCTGAAAGTACTTGGATTCTGACCATTTAGACAAAATTTTCAAACTGCTTTAACAACCTTCACACACATGGTTGCAATTAATATATCCTTCCAAAACAATTACATCCAAAGATATCATGCAACGAACTTTATGTAATCTTTGAATTACTATTGCTATGAGCCAACATAGCTCAGTATAAAGACTGGATGACAGGGGGATTTGATTCCTGACGGGCAGAGGATTTTTCCTCTAGCCTCTGCATCCAGACCAGTTTTGGGGCCCACCCAGTCTCCTATCCAATTGGTACTGGGGACCTTTCCTGGAGGCAAAGTGCGACCACTCACCCCCATCTAGTGCTGAGGTCAAAAACGAGCAGGAGCTATACTGCCTCTCCTCACAAGTGCCTACGTGACGTATACTGGGACAGCTTTGTGTTTTTACTTTCTGTTAAACCACACTGTCAAATCTAATGTTATTATTCTTAAGACTTAATAGCCTTTAAAAATAAGCCATGAAAATTTATAATAAATGAGAATTAATTCTGCGTGTGAGCAAATACACACTGTTAGACTTTAGATTTTAATAAACAGACAATTACCTCTCTACATATTCATTGCTATGCGGATCACATTCTTTAAGCAACTTTGTAAATTCTTCATCCAAACGCTCCACCATCGTCAGGACACAGCCTCGCACCTTATAAGGAACTGAATCAAAAATTTCATTTTCCTCCAAGATATGTTCGCCAATAACGATCTCTGGCGTAGACAACAACAAGTCCAAGGTGTCGGAAATTCCATCTAACAACCTAAATGGAGAAGAATATAGAACACAACATTTATTTTTTGATCTGTGAAACTGAAATATATATTAATTTGATCTCAACATCGTCATATCCAGCATTCAACTCTGCAGCAGAACACAGCATGTGTAATATTTAACAATAAACAATACAAAATGTAATATACCTCGCAGATTCTGTATAAATTTTCAGTCCTAAACTTATCACACCCTTAAATGCAGAAACACACCTCCTTACCTATAACTTATTTAATGTTGCTGTTGGTAATCAAATTACAGTGGATTCTGGTTAATTGGGACACATCGGTACTAGAACACTTTGGCCCAATTAAGCGGTTGCCCTAATTATGCGAAGTCCCACGTAAAGAGTTTTAAAACAAAAGACAAACTCCCATTTATTGAGCAACAAAAATACTATAATTGAATTCTGGAACAAATGGTACAGATCAGAGAAAAATATTTACGCTAAAAACAATTTTAATTTAATGTATCAAACACGCATGTACGTAGCTCTTAACAGTTAATGACCGAGGAATTTATCGAGTGTACCCTGCCGTGTTCTCTTAATTGACTGCAAGTGAACAAAATCAGCGCAGGGATCTGGTGCAGATATAGGATTGCCTTCATCGCTTTCCTGCATGAAGTAGCGTCGTAATCCAGCAACAAATTCCCTGGCATCCTGGTTAGTCACTCGCTCAAGCTCAGGTGTGTCGTCCCCATCGCTTTCCTGTCTTCTGATGTCTTTTGGTGTTTTGCTGCAATTTGTTCAACAACTGCGTTCTCATAATCTTCATTTTCATTGTAACATCAAAGTCTATTGTCGATGCATGCAAACTCTTCGTAGTTTCTGACGTATTGCACTTCCAAAATGGCGTCATTTTCACTGTCGGTCGTATCTGGCATCTCCAAGCCTGAATGCTTAAAACCACAGTGAGCATGCTTTGCTCACTGAGGTTTCTTAATGGTCTTGCTACTTACTGCTCGCAAGCAGAATCGCTACACTGTCTGAATACGCACGCGTTCGTTACCGAGGGCACCAGCGATGACTCACTGATTCCTCCAAGCCACTCACGTGCCATCTAGCACTCGCTGTCCTGATTAAACAAAATGGCATCCCAAATAAGTGAAGAAAATTTTGGTTATTTTCTCAATTTGTTATTGTTCTTTAAGATTTGTCCCAAATAAACGGATTCCCCAATTAACCAGAATCTACTGTATATACTGACAAATGAGAGGATTAACGAATTGGAAAGGTAAGAAGGAAAGTGACAAGTGCCTGGATAGGCTAAGGAAAACACGCACACACAAAAGAAACTCAGTCTGGATCTTTCAAGTAACAAAATAAATTCCTGTAACTATCATAATAATGCTTAGAGAAACAAAGCAACTTTGACTGTTTTAAATATTCTTTGTTATATAATTTTTGTGTCTTCACACCAAATATAGTAGAACTACCAGCTACTGACATCTGTCTTGAAATAAATTAATTACAAGGTTTCAAATTTAGAAGTGGTAGTCACTTTAAAACCGTGTTATCTCCTATGGTTATTTAGTACCATTTGAAAATTACTGGCTACACTGCAACAGTGCAGCACCCCATACTTACCATTAGCGGGAAAACAGATTTTGTGTGAGAAACCAAACCACACCGCACGCATACGTCTGTTTTCAAAGCATAAGCTCATCATTGTAGAGTTGCGTGAAGCATTAGGTCTCATGCGATACCATCCTATAAACATGTTCAGTAAGGACAAACAACGTTGCACCAAAATGCATACTGCAGAAGGATGAAATGGATGTTACTGCCACAGACGTTTGTGCAAGAAGCCTGTGGAACACACTGTATGCTTCTCACCATTTTCTCTCCAACTCCGAGGGGCACACATGCATGCCACGGCACAGCTTCTGTTGACAGGCTTACTGCAATCCTTTGAGACAACAATACACATTTTGCCCTTGTGTAACCCACGTTTTGACGAAACAATACTTATCATACTCACTGAGCATGTTTTAGTGCAGTTTCACACAATACCTAACGCTTCATGCCACTCGATGACACTTACCCGGTGTCCTACGTGAGCGATTAAGTGCGAGCGGTGCGAGTTGCGTGGGTGAAGCGGAAATATCAAACTGGCTGTTTGTGTGGCGCTGTCCTAGGTTACAGCGAATCAGTCAAGAGAGTAAAGCGGCCGGATTCCGAGATCAAATATTTTGATATTTTCGCGCAGGTCGCTGCGTTCACCAGTAAGGCGCATGCGCAAGAAATCTCTGCCTGTGCAGTACACGGAAGGGGCATGCGCAGGAAGGCCGTGTGTTTCTCTTCCGCAGGACACAACAAGCGATTCCCTTATGTCATATGACACCCCATGCTGCTTATGCAGCTCGCACACCTCGCTTGTTATCGCTTACCTAGGACCTTGCCTTAACACTGAAGTAGGATGACATATGTAGCACAATTCAGTCTCTCGCACAAAAGCTGTTTTCTGATGATGATAGTATGGAATGCAGCGTTCCCGAGAATTTTAAAATGGCTCTTGTACTTTCCTGAGCTCCAGCTGCCTAGTACAAGAGCACTAAAAGAAAACTGCCCTCCCACTGTGACTGATATAAGCATCGGACATTTATACATCAGACTCAAGACAAGACAAACAGCGAACTCAGTACTTGTTTTACTTGCATTATGCCACGATAAGTTATTCTCAATACTGATGTAACAGAATTACTTTGGCTAAAAGGATTTTGATTCAATTAAATGAATTTTGTCAAAAAATTCTAGGAAGGCTTTCTCATGATTACTAAACTTCATTCACCAAACTCAGTACTGAAATAGAAGGAATCACACACAAGCATGTGCACGCATATGCATGCGCGCACGTGCACACACACAAGTTTAGTAATTACTGTTTTCATTGCATGTAATTATCACACAAATAGGCTCACTATGAGACATGATGTGTATGATCTAACATTGCCCCTTTCTTAAGTTCGGCATTTTACAGTTTATAACCTTTTGTAAAGGAATAAGCGATTAAAACCCCTGTACTACGGGGCCGCTGGCCACCAGACTTTTCGGTGGTAACCTGCACAGTCAACAAAAGTTCATATCTTATGTATTAAGTATGGTACACGTAAATTAATTAATTTCCTGCAATTCAAAAGTTTTTGGTTACAGTACGTACTTGGCCCAGAACTCCGGCTTCATTGCATCGGAGACTTTAGGGTTATAATCGAAGATTGCGGAGACGATGGCAAACTTAATCTTGAGAGCAACAGCGGGACCAAGATGATGTGCATCGGCCACACTCTGCAGTTCGTGAAGCAGCTCAATTTGCTCTCTGCGGTCAGTGCGTTTCTTCCCGCGAGCCGCGATGATCTCACTCAGTTTCTTCACAACTAGATTAACATCAATCTCTGCATCTTTTGCAAACATCTTAGGCTTTTCCTGAAAATTATTAAAATAGTTAATTCAGAATATATCCAGTAATACAGGTAATTAGACTCTACTTTCCTCTGAATGAAAACAAGAATTCAGTTCCTTTCTGAGTCATCAAACCAATTTTTATAAAACCATGTAGTAGTTTGTCTAAACCAGTCCTAAATTCTTTAAATGAAGTCAATTACATTATTCCACTTCAAGGGTGATGGTGTAAGTCTGCTAACTACAATTACATTACTCGTTTATATACAGGCTTTGGCTCTCTGGAGTTGTTACGCCATGGATTTATACAGGTTCTCAGATCTCACAGAATGAGGTAACCATTACAGTAATTGCTTACTGCTGTTTAAATAAAGAATGCAACTCCAGCTGTTTACTGTCAGGAAGAAATTGAAAACTGCATGCAAGGCAGAAAAAATAAAACTGCACCTTAGCCAGGAAACTTACAATAATTTTATTCACCGTCTTTACACAAGCTTATAGATTGTTAAAATCACATAAAATTATAACATTTCAACATTTGATATTGTTACATTTTAAAATGACGACATGTTTCGATGTTCATTCCATCATCGTCAGGTCTATCAATCAAAATTAAAAACTGTTGCATCTGCTGCTCTGCGTATACTGATTTTGTTCTACCCGTTAGATTTTATTTGTTTAACCTCCAGGCTTCTTCCATTTAATTTTGAGGGCTGCGCCTGGATGCCTTAAATCTGCAAAAAAGTTGTGTGTGTTACTTGTATTACGATATATTGAGTAATTCTTTAAAATTATTCCATTTCCTATGTCAGTAGCCAGGATCACGATATGAAAATTAAAATTGATTTTGCAGATTTAAGGCATCCAGGCGCAGCCCTCAAAATTAAATGGAAGAAGCCTGGAGGTTAAACAAATAAAATCTAACGGGTAGAACAAAATCAGTATACGCAGAGCAGCAGATGCAACAGTTTTTAATTTTGATTGATAGACCTGACGATGATGGAATGAACATCGAAACATGTCGTCATTTTAAAATGTAACAATATCAAATGTTGAAATGTTATAATTTTATGTGATTTTAACAATCTATAAGCTTGTGTAAAGACGGCGAATAAAATTATTGTATTGAAGAACACAAGCATGACGCAATTAAGATATCAGGAAACTTAATTAAGCAAAAGTTGCATCAATCAGCACCTGGAGAATAAGGATGGATTTTTCAGAAACTGATTGGAAATCAGTGGACATTTTCTGGGCAAAGTAACACAAAAAAACTGTCTTCACATTTTAATGAAAAATAACAGCGTAGAAACGTACTATCCAGTGAAAAGCGTCTTCGGATGGCAATTTAAATCTCAAAAGAACTTTGAATCCAAAGCTTTGGGATGTACTACGATTGCATGTAGAAGTTATGTGAAATGACTTGTGCTAATTACGAGTAAGTTTTAAAAAAAGTACGGAGTTTCAAACAGTAGTATGGTTAAGAAGATATAATTTGGATGCCAATTCTGAGCAGACGATCCATTCAGATGGCACCAACAGCAGCAATAAAGTACAATTATAAGTACAGTATCTTGCATTTCTTTAATACTGCATTATTTGTCAATAGATGAAAGTGTAGATTCCTATAGGGATATAAAACAATAATAACGTAGCAACAGTGCTGCCATGTAAATAGCCACAGCTCACAGTCAGGAGTGACCCAGTAACATTACTAGCATTATTCTTTGCACTGACCATACATATCAGATTAAAGATGAAAAACAGCACATTTATGCACACAATCATTATTCAATTACTGCTGTATATTATATGTCAGTGGTATTCAACCTGGGGTACACGAAGACATCTTAGGGGGTACGTGAAATTTAAAAATATATATAAATATTACTTTATGATAAACAATGAATAATCAGTAATGTATTTTATTTAATTTATTTTAGATGTAGATTATATACTATGTATAACTTGAATTATACACCGACAACTTTGGGGGAACAAAGTTGAAGAGAAATTATATCTGGGGGTATGTGAGTCCCGCGCTGTAGCTGCGCGGTCTGAGGCATCATGCTTCGGACCGGCGATACGGAATGCGCGCTGGTTCGAGTCTTGGGGGAGAAGAAATTTTCTCATGAGCTTTCGACCAGTGTATGGGACCGGTGCCAACCCAGCATCGTGAGGAAATTGGGGAGCTACGATGAGTAGCGTAATCCGGTCAGGAAAACTAGCAATGGCTGGGGGTTCGTCGTGCTGAACACACGTCACTCTATATCTGGTTGGATGATCGTTCACCTCTGCTTAGGCATGTGAACGTGAGACCAGCAGTCAAGCTAGTCGGCTTTGGCTCTCTGGAGCTGTTACGCCACAAATTTATTTATTTGGGGGTACATGAACAAAAAAAAAAAAGGTTGAATGCCACTGTTATATATAATACTATTAATGCAAAAGTTTCACTTATATAAATTCAATCGTTTTTGTTAAACAGAGATAATATAAAGAGACACAATTTAATCAGAAATGCATAGTAATTACTGTCTGCGACAGAAATGGACATAATCTGAAGAACACGAGATGGTAGGGAGTTAAAGTCACTATGAGACTAGGAAACAATGACAACATCCTAGCGCCAAACACCAGCACCCTTCCTGAAAACTTTAAACATTACTGGAACAATCTGACTGACACTAAACCATTACGACGCTTCAATGAAAATCAACAAGCAAATTGCAGAACTACAGATAAAATATAAATAAGAAAGAAGGGAATCAAGTACGACCGATGTTTTCTCTATAAATATTCACTAATGTGGTCAGAACCTTGTTTCAGGTTACCCTTACTTCTGTCAACCAACAAAGCTAACATCTATTATCTAAGATTTGAGGTTTTCACGGTGGCGAGTCTGAAGATTGCTGTCTTCTGGGTTGTTACGCCGTGTAGTCTGGTAGATTTCTACCAGCGTTTAAGAGGTCATAATGCCTGTCATCAGGGTGATGACGGAGGCAGTAAGAACTCTCAAACGCTGGTAAACATCTACCAGACTACACGGCGCAATAACTCAGAAGACATCAATCTCCTAACATCTATTCTTTCTCGTTGATAGTAGATAACCGAAAAGTAAAACTTTACTTACTAATGGAATAATGCCTCCCTTCACTCTCTCCCAACCTCCTTCACCATCTTCCTCCTCCTCTCGTCTCTGCTTCCTCTCTTTCTCTTTTCGTTCTTTATTTTTCTCCTTTTTCTCTTTCTTTTCTTCTTCTTCTTTTTCAGTGTTTCTGTTATATTCAAGAATACATATTTATGCAGCAATGAAAATTAACCAAACAATACACTCCTATTCACTGACTAACATATTCATTATACACTAATGTATATGAGAGTTAAGAAAGTCCCTGAGATGTAAGCAGCCTGACAAGTCACACGCTGCACTACTAGCAAACCAGAAAACATCAAGCTCATTCTAATCTGATGTACAATTTATTGGTAATACTTTATAACGCTGGAATTTATAAAACAGCCAGTAATAACAAAACAAATTAAAAAAGTTACAGTGGAACCACGGTTCCGGAGAATTAGACGTAAATACGTCTATACGGAAAGGAAGTTTATATATTGGCTTTATTCTAAATATTTCCTTTATACCCGCTTTACAATTGCGTAAAGTTTGATTAAGACATGGCTTATTTAACGTGAATTAGTTACGCTTAAGATGGGTTTGTGGCAGCTAAATCTAATGTAAGGTAATGTAATGTTTTATAGGTAACATAACAATGCAGTTACACTTTTTCGTTTCACTTTTTTCCGAATGACACTGACCCGAAAATATACACGTATTTACGTCAAAAAATACACTACAAACAGAGGAGCAGCAGAAAGCAACAATGAAATGTGAAATTTTTTGGACAAAAAAAGACCAATGTTCTCCACTCAGGAATAGGGGGTTATACATGCATCACCTACGTAATAGGCCGCCTACATAACAAGTATTTACTGAACTCCCATGTACAGTACATATGAAAGAAATTTTAGGTAAACCAGCATAAAATATGCTACGTATAGGCAGTGAATATGATATGTGCAGAATCAGTAGCACTGCAAAGGGAAATAAGATATGGATACGACGTCTGAGTGCGTCCTATTAATATGAAACCAAGACCAGAAAGTATCAACGTTAGCATAGAAACTGTGGTTTACTGGAAAGTTTCAACCACCGCATAAGAATTTTAAGAAAATTACAGTTGCATGCATTATTTAAGCACTGTAAGTCACAGGATGGCTTTCAGGAATATAAACTGTTCAAATCATTTAATTCTGACAGCATTACATCACACGACTAGCCTCGAAAATGAGGCCGGAGATGGCCCTCGAAACGTCGGCACGGTTTAACCACGTGATGTGGCTGCTGGCCCGAGGAGATTTTATTAATTACATCACAACTTTTAGTTAATGCACATAAATTTCATGTCACTTAATAAAAAATTTGAATAATATTACAGCTTCCAATAAACACAAAAACATTTTCAGTCACATGACATCTTCCCAATATAAGATTTTAAAACTAAGGAACTATGTTATGTTTTCATGATGATAACACAACTCTTCTTCAAGAGATAACAGTAAAATAATTATCTTCACCAAGAAGTAATCACTGCAGGCCACATACTTCTTTGATGAGAAGAAGCATTACCCAACGTAAAAACCAACAACTATACATTTAATTACATCCAAATAACAAAATTTGAAAATGGAGATATATCAGTGGTGAAAGGATTTATGAAAATCTTTCAAGAAAGTTTCATGATTAAGGGTTTTGCATACTTCCTCGCAGCGTTTATAGGTAATTTAAAAAATACAAAAAAAAACAAACAAACATATATTTTCAAAAGTGGATTCTTCTGCAGTGTATCGCCATTGTCAGACCAAGTGTACAAGAACAAGAAAGAATTTTTTTACTTTTTTTAAAAATAATTCAGAAAACATAAAATGGTCATGTTATGTATTTCTTCACCTTTTATATGAAAAACATTTTCAACTCGTGGAGGCTGCCAAGTTTTCGAAGGACTGCATAACGGAACACAGCCTTCTAACACAAAACGAGAGTTCTCCATCTCTCGCAGACACGGGGTACAGTTCGAGGTGGATCTTTAGTGAGATGGGGACCTATAAAAATTTGACCTGTCACCCTGCAACCAGCAGGACAAACAATCCTGAACAAGGCTTCAATCCCTGCTTCCAGCAAAAGACTTTAATTGCTGAGGACCCATGTCCAGCTACAACTGAGGTAGAAATCTGGTCAGTACACCACTGCGTACCTTTACAAATCTTGGCACCATCTGATAAAATATTTCTAAACAGTTGTTGAAACCTACTGGTGTCTACCATAAAGCAGAAGTGTGGGGAATTTATTACACTGAATGATAAATACAGTGAAACCTCTATCCATCGTTCCCGGAACTATCGTTTTCCCGGATGCATCGTCCGTTTTGTTCGGTCCCGAATACATCCCATATAAAATAATGTTACATTTTCACGCTTCTATCGTTCCTCGAACTATCGTTTTATCGCATCGATCGTTCAAAAATCTTAGTCCCGGCCCACAATTTTCCC